TCTAACGTGTTTCTCCTCTCCTACACTTCCAGCTCAGTTTCTGTACAGCTGTGACGTGAATTTTCTGGAAATGGTACCCTCAGTATTTGTGTTTCAGATTGTTTTCTGCGACTATGTCTCTCCACTACCCACCCCTGCCCCCAGTTACCACATTCAACCTAGTGTGTAGATTTCATGAGGGCAAAAATCTGTCAGCACACACTAGTCTCTCAATAAATGGTTGTCCGTTGGTTAGCCTCCTGAGTGGCCAGCAAGCCTCTCTTCATGCAAGCTTACTGTCTGGGATGGCCAGTGGCCTTAGCAAGCTCAGAAATGAATCCTCTGGCTACTTGGTGAGCACTAGGCTATCTTTCTTCCTGACTGTTTGTCAATGGGTAGAGGGATCTAGATGGAAGCCTACTTAAGGAACTTCAGTGTGGCTCCTTCTCAGGTCTGTCTTAACAAAACACCCAGCCAGCAACTGAAATTATAATTGCTGTGAGTCATGCCATGAGTCACATGGGTTGTCACAGCAACCTACTAACTATATAACCAAAGCCCCTTCCATTAGCTTTGCCAAGAAAGGTTCTTGAGTTTTCCTGGACTGTGAAAATAACATGGGTGAGCCCCAAGTCTGGGGTTGCTAAGAGTCTACAGTCAAAAAGAATGGCCTCAAGGAAGGAAAAGAACACGAGAAAATAAAGTTATTCTAGTTCTTGGACCTCCTGAGTAAATGACAGCAGTCATGACAAATTGTTGGGTTGGTTTTGTGATATCAACAAATGCCTAAGGAGAAGAGGGTGAGGCCTCAAAACTAATTTTATCTAAGTCAAATTCAAAGCCAAGTCTCTAGGGTAAAGTGAATATGTTAACCTACTCCACTTTAAATGATTGCAATAAATACTTTTTCTTTTTACAGATACAAAGGATTATTTCTCAAAGAACTATCCTGATTTGTTCTAAAATATTTTTACTATTGAGGACTAAGTCTCTACAGGGTTTTAATTTTATAATTTAGGTATTAGCCTGCTACAGCCAAACATAATATACAAAATTACCCTTTAATGCAATTTCTGTTAAAATTAAAATATTTTGGAGGGTTCAAAAGCATATTTTGTTATTTTGGGGGGAAGAGTGACATTAAGTTGTATAAACTCACACATTTTCCTGATGGCTTACTGAGTAACCTGCAGTTTTTGCATGTTTGTAAGTGCCTGTTTCTGAGTGCGGAGGAGAGCAAGCCGAACAGACTGAAACAGGAAGAATAAGGAATATAAACAAGGATGAGATCAGAAGGAAGTAGCAATGGTCTGTTGCCTCTGGAAGCAATCCAGAAGCCTACCAGTTATCTCTTTGGTCTCTGACGTGGCGGCTGGCTGACATTAGCCCAAAGGTTATGACACCCCGATGCTAAACTTCCCGGTAGCTGGCAGTAGCTAAGATGATCTGTTGCATTTCCCCCTTTTTTACCTCCATATTTGTCGTATTCTAACATTTTAGTGAATGAAGACTCATCCAAGGAGAATTAGATTAAGTAAGAGGCCAGGAGCAAATGACCAATTGTCCTTGGCAACTAAGAAAGAGCAAGATAGCAGCTGATTCCAAGAAAAAGATCCTTATCCACACAGTACTATTTCAGCAGGAAAGAGAGCAGAACAAACTTGTGAAACACCAAAGTGAAAGCACTCTTGGAAGTGTCCAGCCAAATACAGGTGCTATGTAATCACCGCAAAAATTATACTGAAATTCTGTACCACAGTGTAAAATTTCTCCAGCATGGCTCTCTCCCACAAGTAATAACTCCCTTTTATATTCCCACATCAAACAAAACAGCAACATTTCCTAACAATGGAAGAACATCAAAAATGTGAGAATTCCTTGACCAATTTGGTCACAATGACTTTGTACTAGAAACCCGAAAACTCAGTCCTCCCCCATGGGCCAAGTAAAGTTAATGACAAACATGAAAAGTGTTTATTTTCTTCTCAGAAACTCAGGAGAATGCCTTCTCAAAGACCATACTTATGGATTCCTGTGAAGTTAACAATAAGATTTCCTTTCCTGGGAATTTCTGGCTCAACTCACCCCAAAACATTTTTTTAAAAGTAATACCTGTGCTTTCCAGGTAATGAGGTGGCCTAAAATATTATCAGGTGTCACAACCATTCAGGTTCATTTTGTAGCTCCTGCACCTCTGACTACTGTACCTGCGAGCTGACACTCTGGTCTGATAATGTATTCTACAACTGTCCATGTTAATTTGTAAGTCGAACAATCTCTCTGTGAGGGCCGTTAGGAAAACCAGAGTGAAAGTGCTAATAGGGGGTGACTTCAGCTGTCGATGGCGATGTAGGCAAGCCAGGACCAAGGTTTCCAAAGCCCTGGCTAAAAATGGCCGCCATGAGACAGTCCAAAAATGAATTAATATGCTTCACTGATAGTGAAACTTTCTGAAGAACAGATGTCAAGATGATTTAAGAGGAGTTGGAATGTAACATCATAAGAAAACTTATAGGCAAGTTAGGACATTTCCATTTTCAAAAAAAATCTGACAGATGCTAAAGAAGTCATTTGAGTGACTGTTATCAGAGAAAGAACTGGTTGATTTTCTTCTTCCTCACAACTTGTGGGCCCTGTGGAGATGCTAAGATCAGAAATATGATGGGCTCTCTGCTCAGCTTGATGACAAAAACAGTCTCCACATATAAGTGGCATAAGACTTTGACTAACACTCAACTTGGACAATTCAATTTCTTCTTGGCACATGTGAAGTTCGGTGCCAACTATCTGCTCAGGTGCTATTGATCCCTACTTGACTGGCCATTTTATTTTGGGTCTCCTTCCCCAAATCATGAAAGTAAACATCAACCAAAAAACAAGGATGATTTCTGATCTAAATCTTTCTGTCCATTTAATATTTGCCTTACATAAAGGGAGCTTTATTTTAGGTTTTTCTACATTTATTTTATGCTTAATGTGTAAGAATTTCCCTGCTCATTTTCTTAGTTAGAAAGGCAATCCAAATCCGCCTACTCTGGCTGTGTCTTGATTTTGTTTTAAAGCAGGCATATAGCTGATGGAGTGAGTTAAACCTCCGATGCAAGGCCAACCTGCTTATATTGCCTCTTACTGGAAATTCCGTTTTCCTCACTAGCTACCACTCTCATGCTGTCATCTAAATCCTTCCATGAATTAAAATCTAACCACAGGTCATTATTTATGCAATAGACCAGTGAAATCACTCTCAGGGATGACAATTCCTTGAAGATCCATATGGATGGACAGTCTATATATTAACGAAAATCTATGGTCTCTGTCTCATTAGTTGAGGAGGACTCTTGGTAGCCAATGAAATTGAACTAGTGCTTCTGTCCATTTATCCAAGAGCCAAGTCGTAATGCAAATAGTCAGTGGCTTTCTGTATATTGCCAGGTGGCCAGGAGTCCATACCCCAAACCACCACGAACAGCAGGCACAATCATCCGCCCCTGTTTCGGAGAGGCCCAGGACTGAGCTAGCAGAAAGACTGAATTACTTACCACCTCTAGAGTGGGTCCCTCCAGGCCAGGGACGAGCTCATGGGCAAGGCTGTGCAAGGAAGCGTTCTGTACCATGCCTGCCCTGCGGATATACAGAGGACTTCAGTCTCCTGTACTGTCAATCTCTCAGTCATCATGAGCTCAATTATGCACCGACAACAGCAAGAACAACAACGACGACGACAACAAAACAATCCCCAAAAAGCTAAGGGCCACAGACTACCCTGATGGAGGGACAGCCAACTGAAGCTGTGCGTTGACAGATGGAGGTGCTGTCCTAATCGTGTGTCCATTACAGGCCTGACCTTTTCATCTTTCCTCAAATATTCCATTGAAGTCCATGGGGGACCCACATAGAGAGACTGTAGGGCTGGGCCATAAAAGTCAGGCAGCTATGAGATTTGGTGGGATTTTTTTTTTGCTTTTTTATTTGCTATAAATACAGATAAACAGACAGACAAACCCAAGAGTAGGTTTCAAGAATCAACTCAGGCACAAGATAAACTACTTTGATGTTACACAGATTTTTCCCCCAAATATTTCACATGAAATAAAAACATTTTTAAAGTATAAGTAGGAAAAATTTGGGGACATGTCTTTGTCAGCCCTAAATGGTGCCATAAATATCTCCACTGCTTGCCTTAGAAGGATGCCAAACACATCTCATAGGTAGCACATATCTGTGATCTAAAATAGTCATCAAATTCTCATGACATGATTAATTCAAAGTCTAAATATGCTGGTCCAGTCCAGTGAGAGTTGACTGCCTGCATCAATGACGTATTAGTTTCATCCTGAGGTTCAAAGCACAGTCAAACATCATTGATCAGATTGCAAATCACAACACTTTACATTGACATGAGTTTGTAAACTTGTAGTACAATTTGAATGAAGGCAATTGGTGAAAGCAGTTGAACCTGAGAAGTGTGAGTGAGTACAAAGTATAAATCCAGCGCACATTTCCACATCAAACTACCGATGCCATTAACCGGGGCCCTGAGAGGCCACACTCATGGTCAAACAACAGCACCTACATTCCCAGTCAGCATCTCTGCTCCACAGACACAAGTACAAGACGGCCTAAATCGGGAACTAGTGGTGAGGAAAAGGAGACCAAAGTGTAAAAGAAATCAAAGTGACATTTCCTAGAAACATGACTCTTCTAAGCAGGATCCAGAGTAAGGATGATCAGTAAGTAATTAATTGATCCTCCCAGCTAGATTTTATGTTTTTCTTCTACAGCTTAATGGCTTAAGTAACTAGAATTCCTCAGAATATGTCTAGACTTTCTTTAACACACACTCAGTACACACAGGTGGAAATGTACCACTTCCGACCACTACAGGTAGAAAAGTATGACCTCTGCTGACCATGGATCACAGCTGAAACATTAGTTTATACTTGAAGGGTCACAGCAGCCAGACATATGCGAATTCCAACTCTTCAGAAAACGTGGGACAAGAAAAAAAATGCATTACTTACATGTATGTGTCTTCTTCGTTACTGAGATACCTGGAAGAGAAGAAATAATGACAAAGGTAAGAAAGCATCCTGTGTGGGCTTCTCAGCACGTACATTGTCTGCAGAGTACTCAGGGACACAGGTCGTTCAGATGGCAATGGAGAGACAGGATTAGACTTCATCTTTCATGGTGGCATCACTGGATGGACCCCAGAGTAATGCCACCATGAACGATGAGGACAGTGAGCACTGCCTACTGAGTTAAGAGGTTCTGTAGTAAAAAAAGAAGTAGCACAGATAGTAATTAAACAGGGTGAGAGAAGACTCTTATTTTTTATTTTAAATAGGGGAGATGATCATCTTTATAGGCAGAGCAGGGAAGATTTAAGTCTCAAGAGAATGATGCCAACCTACTCAGACAACAGAATGATGAATTTGCTGTGGCCATTGACTCTATGTTTACTTTTTAATGAAAATGACTCTTCCCACTTGCCTGAAGCACAACTTTTAATGGTGAGGGAAAATACACCCACAAAATGTACCTATCTGTCCATACACATTAGGGTCAGAGGGGGAATGACTTGTAAACAACGCAAAATTAACACACACACACAGAGTATGAAAACATGGATTCATGACTCAGCACCCTTGACATTTCCAAGATTACTGACAGAGAGCAGGTGACGAATAGAACCAAGCAAGATCAGGCACGTAAGTCTACCCAACGACAGCATGAACGCATGCTCAGTGCGGACAGCACGATCTGCGTCAGAAGTCCTGCTGCCTTTCGAATGCTTCCTGCTTCATTCTGCTTGGGGGTTATTCTTGAGACTACATAGGCTCGAAGTCAAAAAACTCTTGAAAACTTTTCGCCTGCGACTAAGAACTGTGGTAAACCTTGAAAAATTTTTTCTTTCAAGTTATTAAGAGAGCTATTATAACCCTCCTCTGGAAAGTTAAAGTTGTTTAAAAATGGGGCACCCACATCAGACTTATTACTTAGCTGTGTGACATATGGTACAGGGAAGAAATCCATGGTAGGCATTTTTTTCTGCAGTTAGTTTGAAAGTTGTACGACAAGTCCAAAATCGCACACTTGTCCCCCCCACAACTTTCCAAAGGACTTATTTAGGGAAGCTGAAATTACATAGCCCAACGCAAATTCTTTTTACCCCTTTTTATTGAGGGAAACTAAGCTATTGTTTTTCACCATGTTTGAGTTGGCTTCCCAAAGTGAAGTTAGAACTTTATGCAAAAAGCCTCGAAGGCTCTCTCACATGGGAACTGAAAAAGAGCTGCAGGACTTTTTGAAATCAGCTCGATCATGGGAAGGGCACTTGGCCCCGCAGCAGGGGTGAGCAGAGTTTAAAATCTGAATACAGTTTGCAGCTCCAGCTCGTGACTCCAGCACCAATAAGTGGATACATTAGTGCTCTTTCAGCATTGTGGGAGCTATATGTGTACCTTCCTTAGGAAATAATGCTTTCTGTAAAATCACTTTGAGGAGAAAGTGCTTATGCTGTCACTCCTGATTATTCAGAACCTCCACACAATCGGATTTAACACAGCCCCAAACAGACCCATCTATATTCGCTGAGTGTGGAACTATTTTCTCCTGACACCCAAAGGCCTGATGAAAATACCACCGCTTTGACTTTTCTACTTAAATTTATTATACACTGTGATGCAGTGTTCTCGTCAAATATTTTCATGATGATTACACTGATAATAGATTTCGAAAATCCTTCCAGGAAAGCTGCCTGAGCTTCGAGACCATGGCTGCACGGGGCTCAAACGTCTCATAACTGTGCCTGGGAGAAAGCATGACATTAGCGACGGCACACACTTGGTCCCTCACTTCTGATTAACCGCCAATTAATAATCAATAGAAATAATTGGGGGGCACACCTTTAGTAGAGCTGCCAGATTTGGCAGATAAACAACAGGATACCCAGTTAAGTTTGAATTTCAGAGACCAGTTTATCTGAAGTTCAACTTTAACTGGGCAACCATAATCTATACAAATATAAGGTTAATTTTATCTGTTATATACAATGAAGAATATGCTAGTCAATTAATAAACACATTTTTATGGGAAAGGATTAAAAAACACACTTCTATGAAAGCAGTATTTTTAAAAAATGCATCACAACTTCTCAGTATGGAGATAGGACTGTGCATATTTATGTTTTTTTTTTTTTACTTGATATTCATTATGGAAACAAAATTCTATTTTCCTAGAAAAAGCAAACAAAGAAAACTATGAACACAAAAAAGACAAATTTAATGGAACACTCAGAAAATGCACTGGAATTCCTTTCCTCCACCTCCTCTCCTGAAAAATAGCAACAGTGCTCACACTGAGGGGTCGGACTTGTGTCCCTCCTCTCTCTGTTCACGATTTAGCGCTTCCTAGTAACTGACTCCACAGAAGTGGGAAGAAGCCAAACTGTCCCTCTCATTTCACAGATGGATCTCCTGAGGTCCAGGGAAGTTCTTCATTAGCATAGTAAAAAACTTGCTGTGGGAAGTTATTATCAGACTGGAAGTGTGTCCACAGCACACATTTTAAAACCCTGCTACAGAGGGTGCCTCTCAAAAGAGTTAATATTCAAAGAGAAGATTTATTCCCTGGAGCGTAACTCTCAGCAGTCAGCGCTGCCGATAATTCCCTGTCCCCCAGCCTGTCTAAACCTACAAGCCCCACCAGGGCTCAAGACCAGAGGGGCCTGTGTCCCCAGGTTTGTGACGAGCAGCCATTTCTTCTCCGTTCAGTGGGGTGGGGTGTGTCTTCCTTTTTCTCTTTCTTCTCATCTCCCCAGAGGTTGCAAGATTCCTGTCTTTCTCATCATAGAACTCATCCTCAATGGGACTGCAGCGGTCACGTATGGCCCGGGTCCTCAAGTGGAAGAGGAAAGGCTTAATCTAAACCTAATGCTACTAGTAACAGCAGCATGTCTGAATCGAAAACTTTTGGGGAACTGGGTTTTCTGAAGACAAGTTTTGATGAGTGTTTAGAAAGCAAATAGCTTTAATTCTGCTCAGGACTATACAAGAATAAACTTTTTAGAGACGGCTCTTGCTTTGGAGTCAAGCTGGCTGGAGCTTGCAGGCTTAGCCCATCCACTCTGCTGTCTCTCAGCCAGGAGGCTTTAGGCAGGTCACTTAACCTTTCTGGGCCTGTGTCTCTTAGCCTTTACAATTGTAAAAGATTACATTACAGGTATTATAATCATGGTAATACTCAAAGGCTGTTGTGAGAATTAAAATGAAATAAGGATGCGTAAAGAGTTTTACAAACTAGGGAAGGTGATATACAGGTTAATGGTTTACTGTGACGAGGGGTGGGGGCAATCCACACAGTCTTATTTTAACAAAGTTGAATTAGAATGTACTACTGAAAGATAAGCCACAGCTACTCGTGATGTTCCTGGGTTTCTCACTGACTCGAGGCCTAGGATTCTGGTTTTGATATCTATGCTCCTGACTTCAAAATTCATATTTGATGGAGCACAGCATGAGACACAGGACCAACTTCCTAAAAGTAAGTGGACTCTATTCTCCACCCTGAACTCCACTGGACTCTTTCCTCTCTGAAATCAAGGGAAGATACTTGCTCCCTGGCAAGGGAGTGAAGTGGGCTGCTGACCAACCAGCACAGGCAAAGCACTTAGCCTACCACCACCAAAGGGTGTCGAACCAAGCCCAGATGTTGTGAAGGTTTTGATTCACTTCCCAATGACTGGGAAAGACACCAAGATTCTTTCCCTGAGATTTTCACACAGGCCATTGAGCAGATTAATGTTTACTATGGACAGTGGGACTTCCTGGAGTTGTAGGAAGGGTGATGGGGCAGAACCAACTTCTAAATGCAAAGCACTCACATACCCTGAGCCAAGAGCGAACTCGCTGGATGATTTAGGCAAGTCACTTAACTTCTCTGGGTCGTTGTTTTCTCATCTGTTCAATGAGGTAGTTGAACTGCATGATCCTTAATTTCCCTTCTAGTTCCCTGATCAGTGGCTCCTTGCCCTGCTTTCTAGCTGTCAAACCAAACCTCCTCTTTCTAAGCAACAGGCTGCCAGATCTATTTCTTGCTGTACAAAATCTACTGTAGCTCACAATCAAAGGTAACCACCTGAAACTTTTTCCTTTTTGCCTTTAAATCCAAAGAAGAAAGAAGGCAGTGCCCACAAAAGGTTATATAAGTAAAAGATACACTTCTTTTGGGTGATATTTTAAAATTATCTGGGCTAGAGAAAAATGGTACCTTTTGAAAAGTTGCAAGACTCCTTATATTATATTTCACCCAGATCACACACACGTACAGATTTATTTCCAGGTAATGCTTTAATTTTTCACTTAGCAATATTACAGCAGTTTTATATTGCCAATTAATACTCTTAAAACCAAGAGGAAAAATCTCCACAAATATCCTACCCCAAGTAGGGTTTCTAATATAGCAAGACTGCCTGACTCTATTTAGCCAACCATGTTTCAAAGTAAAGAAAAGGAAATGTAATGAAAATACCACAAATTTATCACTGTCACGGCTATCAGTAGCTTCAAAGTTATAGTCACCACAGAGCAGAGCACTTCAGGAATGTAATCTGATATTTTCAATCAGTGCCAAATCTTGGACCAATTAAACTTCCTTGATGGACTTCTTATTATTGTCTCTTGGCTTCTAGGCAACTGTCTGGATTCCAAGTTTATTTTAACTTTTTTGGGGGAGGGTAAGAAATGACATCTTTCTTCTTCCCTAGACATGCCAATTGATAATCCAGCATTTCCAGAGGCCCTGCCTTCTGGACAAGTCCCTAGCTACAGAGGTGCCCTCTGCCACTTTGCCAGCATTCTGCCTGGGAGTCTTCTCTTGTCCTCTTTAAAAGTAAAATAATTGCTGGGAAAGACATACTTTCAACATGAAAAATTTCTGTGTGAGAATAAAAAACAAAAAGAAAACAAATACAACATAGAATACCTAAAATAAAATGCAGCAAATTCTTTCTTTCCTTCTTTTTTGTTTTAAAATATGCCATTATTTCCAC